CAGACCGTAGGGATTGGATCCCCAATTCTGCCCTGACGGCTGCATTACTTGTGCGCTTGGAGCATCCTAGGATGATTTTCGCTGCTTTCATCTGCGTCGCCTCGAGTTCTTTCACTACCTTCTTATTTCCTTCCCATACTTCTCCGGCGTACTCTAGCGGCGGTACGATTACGCTCTTCAAAACCGTCAATTTGATGCGGGTATCGAGGTGCCGGTTTGCGAGTATTGGGTGCAGCTTCCCTACTTGTGCTTTGCCCTCCTCCGCTACCTTGGACATGGATGCACTCCACGAGCAGTCTTTTGCGATCTCTACTCCGAGGTATGTGTACTGGTTCACTACTGCACTCTCCTCGATCCCCCACTTCCATCTTTGTTGTTGTGGTTTCTCACATTAGCTCTATGGTCCACAAAACATGGGGGGACTGTTGGCTCGAAACCCGGCACATACGACGCCGCGGGGAAACAAAACAAAAAAAGGGTGCAAACCACTCGGAAAAAGAAAACAAAATGATAGAAAGAAAATAACAGGTACCGCACCGACCGTTCGAGAAAAGAGCCCTCGGAAACAGATCAAAACAAAATGAAATAAAAATAATGGAGGACGCTTCCCACCCACACCCGCCCAAAGAAAAAATCAAAGGGTAACGTACCAGCACCAGGCACTACGTACCAGGGCATGGGAGTAACGGAGCAAACAGGACAAAGAGGCGGCAGACGGGCAGACAGCCAGACGTACAAAAACAAAAGCAACAGCAAAGCGAGATCAAGGTACCCAAACCAGCAGAGTAGGCAGGGAGGTCATAAAAAAAGAAGCACAGCACAGAGGCCGAAGGCAATACAAGGGACACACATAAAGGAGTATAGCATACAGCAGGGAGGGAAACAGGGCGCAACAAGATCAGCCGGGTATATAGTTCGCCACAAGTGCTACCTCGGCCGCCCCACTCGCTTCTACAGCAGTGCCCGATCGTCGTTTCTTCCCCCCCGCCGCCGCTTCCCCGACTCTCTTTCTCTTCGGTCCTAAGATGACCGTACTCTCTGCTTCTGCTTCCCTCGCGCACTGGCGCTTCGCGGACGCTTCCGCCTCCTGCCTGTGCCATTTCCTCATGAACCATGCCGCCCCGTCCTCGATCTTGCTGTACCACACCTCCGGGTCCTTGGCGCTCTCTTTCCATTTACCCCCTTCCTTTTCGTCTCTCATGTTGAAGGCCACGAGGTCCTCTTCTAGACGAGACACCCAGTCGCTCCCCTGCCCGGCCCGGTATCCCACGCCCCCCGCCATCGCTCCTAACAGCATGCGCTTGGGGAGGCGG